CTGATAACATCGATTAGAAATTAAAAATGCACACGGAAATCCTTGGCGCAAATCATCTATTGCAAGTAAAGTTATGAGTTCAATTCTGTATGCATTCACTCCATGTGTACCATCAATATATTTAAAGTCAGAACTAAATTTTTTCAGTATCTCTCTTTGTGCTTCTGTCATTATTATCAAAACAAAATCATTTCCTTTTAGAAATGAAATATTGTGTACAATATTCCCTCATGCTATGTTGATCTCTGGTTTCATAAAATGAAATGCATGGATGCTGAGAATGTTGCATTTCAGGTACCCACGTATCTACACAAACCCAATCATTTTCATGTTTAACAACATTAGAAGACAAACTGAAAGAGTTTTTGATGTTATGTAAATCTTGTTTTGTAAGTAAATGAAACCTCTCAAGCCCAGCATCTCATAGAGAATTTCTAATTTCATCTAAAATATTATCCAGAGAAATTTGCTGCTATCTTTGATGCAATATTTTTTATTTCATTTGTTGTTAAAAATAAGTGACCTAAATCATTCCGATGCCCAATATGTATTTTCTGATATGACACTACGCTTTTGCCATCTGTATGTTCTGTTACTTTTAATGCAGCTGGGCAATATGTATTTATTTTATTGCTACCAAGGATTTTTAAGTGACGCAAACCTTTACTTTCTGATATAAAATTTCCTAAACGGTGGCAATACACCATGTATATTAAATATGCTTACTCCATAAGAAATTTTGACTTCGTATTATTTTCAATTTCTGCCTTCCATGCCAAAAATTCATTAAATGAATTAAATTCTAGCTCAGTATGATTCAAATCAACATCACGAACTTTATTGAAATGAAATATTATTTCTCGCTTTTCAAAATTAGCATAACATACAGGACACACATAATTACCTGTTAGAAGTATGAATTTTATTTTGATGATATTTCCAATTTTTTAGGTCACTAAATTTCAGATGGCAGTCGTCACATTTGTAGCTCGGTGCTCAACCACCTTTTAAAGAATCATTAATGTAGTATTATTAGAATGTAATGTGTTGGTATGGCGTTTCAAACTGCATTTATTTTGGTACGTTTTTAAGCAATCAGAGCATACAAAATTACTCTCAGCCACACTAAAATTATTTGCACAATCAACCATACTATTAGAACTTAGTTTTCAGAGACTCAATTAATGAAGTATTATTGTAATGAAATTTACATGCATGGTGTTTCAAATTGTATCTATAGTTGAAAGTTTTAAGCAATCACGGCAAACAAAATCACTCTCAGCTATACTAAAATCATTTGCACAATGAACCATATCACTCACAACACAATCAGAATTATCACACATACCAGAATTGGAATTATCGCACACGATTACTACTTCCTGATTTTGATTCGATTCAGAATCAAAAATACCTTCTGAGGAAACAGAAGTACTTGGCCCTGAAATGAGCAGTTTTTCTTGCTTTTGTGCAGAAGATAAAATAATCGAAGCAAAATAAAAAAGAGAACTGTATCAGCAATCACACGCTACCACGCCAAAGCGAGTAAATAACAGTAAATACGAGGCGCCTTCAGGAAAATGACGGCATGCGCAGTAATCTGCGCAGATGTTCAGGGAGGAACCAGGAGGAAACTAGCGTCTGAAGGGCTAGACGCTTGTTCCACCTCCGCCACGTGTACAGGAAATTGAGGAACACGGGTTAAGATGAATCGTTCTTTGACTTTTCGCGATAATTTAAACTCGAATTTTCGTGCTTTTTTGCGTTACTAGTTGAACTTGTATTATCCATATCGCAGTTTGATGTCTGATTTTATATCTGTCAATATGTAGGGGAGAAAAATGAAGTCACACAGCTTTAAACTCTTGATAAACGTGACCGTCGAACCTGTTTGAACTTCGACATCAGCTTCGAGCTTTGGCGCTTTCTGGTGACAGATATTTCACGCATGCGCAGTTGTGTCCCTTTTCGTTCGGAGGGAGCCACTCCTGCTGCTACGAAGCTTTCCTTCTTAACAATACATATTCTTTGGCACTGACTCGTTATGGTTCCCAGATTCTACAGAGGGCTCTCTATTGAGGGCTATTGAAAGCATTCAACGCTTTGTTGGCTATTGAAAGGTTTCAACGATCTGTCCTCCTAAATTGTTTGAGGCAGCGGCATGGAGGTAGGAAGTAAGAAGGAGTCGCCCTAAACAAGTTTCTCCGTACCCTCCTCTGAAGCACCGGCGATCCCTACGTGGTGACCAAAACATTGGGTCATTTACCATTGAGTTCTATGGGATTTGACGCGTCGGGTGTAAATATTTTGTAATTACGTCGCAAATATACATATAAATGTATATATTTTCTTTTTCTACAACACTTCAGAGTCCTAAGTATGTGAAAACAACATATTTTTAAACAACATTTCATTCTGAACGGAATTAAATGCTATACTTTTCTCAGAATTGTTTAATTTGAATGAAATATTTTCACAAGTTTTCGTTAATTATATTAGAAAAAAAAATTAAGGTAGTTCGATTTTATTCAGTTAAGGTACAAAAATTAAGATCAAAGTTTATTGTATTATTAATATTAAAATTATGCATTATTTCTTTTCTATTTATAGAGCTTCTTCCTAAAATACTTTCTTAAATATGACATGATTTTTTGGCTTCTTTTAAATCGAAAAATGTAAGTCAATTTATAATTAATGCTCTATTCGGTTCATTTTAAATTAGAGAATTATTAGGAAAATAGTATTTGACTTTCTCTGAACATTTCTGAAAGGGAATAAAATAATTTTTTTTTTTTTTTTTTTTTTTTTTTTTTTTTTTTCTTTTTTAAGTATTATTAAAAACTTGTAACTGAGTTATTATAAAATGTAAGGGAAATAATTCTTTTAATTATACTTATCAGATATTTTTTTACCCTTCATTTCAACAATACATATTCCAAAACTCTTTATTACATTCTTAAGTGCGCATCTCATAGCACTTGCTATGAATAAAATACCTAGCATAAAATACCTTTTAACAGATTGCTTTCCAATACGAACAATTCTTGCTTAAATAGTTTTATAACGTATTTGTCAACAGAATTTCAATTTATGTTTACAATTCAATATTAAGGTTATTATATATTTAGATAACATTTATAATCATTATAAATTAGATGCATTTAATAATTAGATTTCTTCACAGTACTTCCACAGTTGTTTATAAGTGAATAAATTCTTCATTTCAAATACATTTATAAATAATTTAATGAATATTTAAGTATTTTGTCAAAGGCAGATACATGCTTTTTGCAAGCACATGCATAAATACCCATACATATTTCCTATTTATCATTTCCGGCATGTGCAAATCTTTAATTTCTGTGCATTCACTATATTTTTCGTGTAAAGTAATTTACACTAATTTAGCATACACCCGAAAGTTTTACATAAAAAATATATATGAATATAATTTGAATGAAAATTATAAGTATTATTTTTAATACCCACTCAAAGGTCAGTTTCTCTTCAAAATTCCCCCACGATGGCATCTCTCTGTTTAGGCAGATAGCCCTTGCATGCGTTACTCTATTTAATAAAAACTTAATCTGACCTATGTGCCTAATTACAAATATTTTAACATACATAATTTTATATTTACATTTAGCCATCAAGTTTCAAACTTTTCAAATCTTCTAGAAAATAAATTTTGGCAGATCTCTTTTAGCAATTTTCTTAAAATCTATATTTTTGTAGTGCAACAGCTTAGAATTTTATAAAACAAATTCATAATCAAAATCGCTGTTGTTAGTTATCGAAAAATAACCAAGATGTGATTTTTGCGTAAATGTCAGTAAACTATACAAATTGCTATTATCCATCACACTATGAATGTTTCTTTCATGCGAGAGTGTCCCTTTTTCGATTTCTATGGAACTGTCGTGTGTCGAAATACTATCAGAATTTTGTCAAGCGAGCTTCTGAATGTAAACAAAAAACACCCCGTCTGGTGACCCAAACTTCAAAGCAGTGCTTCACTTCTAGCGCGGAATGGCCCCTCCTCCCTTTCCTACCTCCATGGGCAGCGGGGGGTATATACATCGAAACCTGTTCAGGTCTGCAGACGATCTACAACACAGGCGTGAAAAAATTCGCCAAATTTCCTACTTTGCGAAAGATGCAATGACGTTTCCGAAACCTTTAGGTTTGCAAAGTATTTGAATATAATGGATGTATATGCACATTTTCTGTTGTAGAAATAACATTTTGATGAATGAATCGTGTCATGGTGAATCTGCAAATGTTACTTCGTTTCAAAAGGTAAAAAATTAACCATTTTAATGCAGAAAAATTAAATGTTTCCCCAAAATGAAAACTGACTATCCTCCCAAATGGAGTTGTTTTGTCTATAATCCATAGTTCTATTTGGGAGAGCTTTCGATTTGTATATTCGATTCAAATCACTACTTCAATTAAGTCTTAATGACTTTTATTTACACACATCTTTTATATTACAATATATACATTATTTGGAGATTAATTTCAAATCAAAAGATGGGGATTATACCCCCTTAGCATCAAATTCTATCAAGAGAAACCGAATGAGCGACCGCTCTCTTCCAAGTTCGTTTTTCGACTCCTCGTTGCCACTGGCAGAAGAGAAACTTTCGCCCATTTCGCATTCGAGTTGTAACATTTCTCCCACCTTTTGATTTTTGAAAAAGTATGAAAAAATCAAAACAATTGTGAAATGAAAATTGATATACGAATATAAGATGAGTAATTTAAATCTTACCAAAATCAACAATTTTAACTAGGCGTAACAAATATCTTGAATATTTTAAACTTACTTAATATTCTGAAAACTTACATTCTTAAAACAAGAGGCAAAAAATTCTTTTCTGAAAATACTAGTAAAGAGATTAATTCACCAAAGTGGAAAATCAAATTGTATACAAAAATTAAATTCAAAGAAAGGAATAAAGAAAACAAATAACAGTGGTACTGAAAACAAAATTAAACTAATTAAAGTTCTTTGGTTTCACAATTTTTCTACCATATCCACTAAACTGAATGTTTTTATCAGAATTTTCAAGTTCACAGTCTTTGGTATCAATTACTAAATCACTCCTTTTACCAGTATTTCTCGGAGATGTGGATGATTCAGTAGTTTTAAGCTCGAAGATAGATTCTTTATTGTCTATCTCCATTGGAAATACTCTTTGAACTGGTCTTAACAGTTCACCACTAGATGTTTTTACTTTCACCACTCTGATGTTGTTGTCTTTTCCTGGGTATGTTTCGATCACACGACCCATAGGCCAGTCTGTTCTTTTCCTTTTATCGTCCTCTACAAACACTAAATCACCTTTCTTGATGGTTCGCGAAGGTACAGTCTTTGGTCGATGTACTAACATACCAAGATATTCATCTCTAAATCTTTTACGAAATTCCACACGTAACTTTTGGTGGTATCGCCATCTTTTCGATAAGTTGATTTTATCCAAACTGTCCAGATCCGGAACACCTTCAGTTCGCACATCCTGAATAAACATAGATGGAGTGAGTGCACATAAATCGGTGGAATCTTCTGACTCGTATGTTAATGGTCTGGAGTTGATATTTGCTTCTGCATCACACAGGATAGTTAACATTTCTTCATATGAAAGTAATGCTTTTCCCAGGACTCTTCTCAATAATTTCTTGATCATCTGAACCAGTCTCTCCCACCAGCCGCCCCACCATGCTGCGGTTGGTGGATTTAGTTTCCACTGAATTTTCATTATTGAAGAACTTCTGTTAATTTGGTTCCAGTCAACAGATCGGAGCAAATTCCTTGCCCCTACAAAATTTGTGCCATTATCGCTGTATACTACTCTAGGCCGTCCTCTTCGTGCTATGAATCTTCTAATTCCGAGAAAAAATCCACTAGTCGATAAGCTTCCAATTAATTCTAAATGAACCGCACGATAAACTCCACAAGTAAAAAGCAAGATCCAAGCTTTTCTATTTTCTTTTAAAAAAGTGGTCCAGCTACATCAACACCTGTCACCTCAAATGCATAAGCATCTCTGACTTGATCTTCTGAGAGAGGACAAGGCACTGTATCAAGAGCTTTCGCCGAGTGTCTCTTGCACCGAACGCACTTCGATATGACTCTTTGTATTGTTTTTCTTCCTCTTATTATCCAAAATTTTTGAAGAATATTAGTCAAAAGAACTTGAGTACCAGCATGTAAAAGTTGTAAATGGTAGTCTTGTATCATTCTTTCTACTAATTCATGTTTGGATGGAAGTACAATGGGGCACCGGAAGTTTTCATCATCATGTCTTCTCAAAATCTTTGTTTTCAACCTTATAATCCCTTCTTCATCTCTGAAAGTAAAACGTCCCTTCAACGGTTCTTCACTAGAGAATGCTTCTTGTTGAACGATCTTCACTAATTTCTTCTCAGCAATGTCCAATTCTTCAACACTCAGAGTTTTGCCATAATTTCTTCCTCCATGTCTACAATTATTTATGAATCTTAGAATCCAACAAATCATTCTCACGATTATAAAGTAACTTGAAAAGTAAATCAGATACCATTTTTCAGCGGTGATATTAACCTAAGTCGAAATAATGTTCTTTCGCTTTTCTTTCATAATTTCTTCTTCGTTAGTAATCACTTCACTAGTTGGCCACTCTTCATCGTTCTTCATAAGCCATTCTGGCCCTTGCCACCAGCGAGATTTCACAAAACTCTCAATCCAACACCCTCGTGATGGTATATCTGCTGGATTCGAATTTCCTGGAATGTGGCTCCATTCAGATTCCAATGACAATTTTCGTATCTCTTTTACTCTATTTGCGACAAATGGCGCCCAATGGTCATCTCTTTGGATCCAAGAAAGTGCAGTACTCGAATCTATCCAATAGTTCCTTGGAACGTTGTCTAATTTGAGTGTTTGTAAATCAAGAGCTGCGAGTCTGACTCCTATACAGCAGGATAATAATTCTAGACGATTTATGGTCATTTTTCTTAATGGACTCACTCTACTTTTAGCTAGAAGAAAATACACCGATACATTTTCACTTGTTTCTTTTCTTAAATAAATCACAGATCCATAGGCTTGTTTACTTGCGTCACAGAACGTATGAAGACTAATACTTTCATTTCCATTTATATCTAAAGCCCTTGGAATTCTAACACTGGATAAAAGTGACAAATCATCAATCCACGAATAGAACTTTTTTTCTAAGTCTTTGGGTATATTTGTATCCCAACCAATTTTTAACAACCATGCCTTTTGTATGAGTAGTTTAGGCGTTAGCGTTATCGGGCAGAAAACCCATGGGGTCGAAAATGCGATGTACCGCAGACAATATATTTCTTCTAGTAAGATTTATTGGTTTGTCAGTAGCAGTCTTCACCTCATAGAAAAGGCTAACATCTTCCTTATCCCATAAAATTCCCAACACAGGAGTAGGTTCTATACTATCTTCAGATTTCAGAAGAGAAGTGTGCTCCCACCCTCTCAAATCGAATGACGCAGATTCTAATATTTGTTTCGATTCCTCGATGAATTGCGTAAGTGTCTCTTCATCAGGAACAGATGTAATGCAATTATCTACGTAGAATGATTCTTTTAAATTTTCCGCTGTTTCAGGATATTTAGACGAATTTAGATCAATGTGGTGACTTAATACAGCAGCCAGTAAAAAGGGACTGCAATTCAATCCAAAAACAACGCGGTTATGTCTAAAAACTCTAAGTTCCTCTTTGTCAAAGTCTTTCCACCATAAAAATCGCAAGAAATCTCTATCACTCTTATTCACTGACATTTAAAAAAAAGCCTTTCTTATGTCTGAAATAACTTCTATTATTGCGAAATCATAAAATTATAGGAATAATTTTTTCCAGCAAATTTGGACCCTTTTCTAGGCAATGATTAAGTGAGCGCAAATTTTTGTCTTTACAGGAAGCATCAAAAACCGGTCGCAATTTCATGGTCAAAGTTTCTTTGAATACCCCTTTATGTGGTAAATAATGACACAAATTATTCATTTTGTGTTCAGGGACTTCTTTTATAATTCCTTCATTTAACCAATCTGTGAAAACATTTTCGTAATCCTCGAATTTGCCCTTTTGTATCAACCGGTGTGTCGTACTATTTAAACGCTGTATAGCAATATCAAAATTTTGACTTAAACATTCCTTTTCTGTTACCCAAGGCAACTGAACCTCATATCTTCCCTCTTTAAAGGTAACAGTTTCGTTAAAATGATTCAATGCGACAATTTCCATTTCCTTTCAACATTTTGTTTCAACAGGGTCTTGAATCCCCAATAAATCTAATTTCCACAAATTTTCAATCTTCGATGTGTGAATTAATAAAGAAGTCACTGCGACGGCATTAGTCACATTTGCATTATCGTCGATATGATCAGACAATTTTCCCATTAAAATCCAACCCATTTTGGTTTCCATTGTAACTAATGTTGAATTCAAACGTTCAATTTTATCTTTTACTAATTTCCAATAATTATCAGTTCCAATGAGTAAAGATACGTTGTTGTTATCTAAAGATTCGTGATCAACATCCGCTAAAATTATTCCCCTATCTTTTAACAACTCCTTAATATTTTGCGGAGGATAGTCTAGCTCAGCACTCGATATTTCATCAGTCTCTAAAACCTGAATAATTAATTCCTGGTTATCGAAAATGTTTTTTATTTTTACTTCTACTCGCGCACAGTTCTGTCTGGTATGCACTTGAGATCCGAAAGTATGAATCATTATTTCTTCCCTTCCCACGACTTTTAATCCCCGTTGTTTAGACAGACGTTTCTGAATATACGAGCGTTGACTAGCGCTGTCAAATAAACAACGAACTAATTTATTGCGTGACCTACTTTTAAGTTCTACTGTCGCCGTCTGTAAAAATATTTTATTCCTACCGATGCTAATGTGATTGCACGCTGAATTTTCTACTCCTTTTGATTGCGATGCTACGGGTTTTTTCTCATTTTTGTAACAAAGAGTTGCATTATGTTTTTTGTGGCAGTATACACAAGAGTTTTTCTCAGAACAATCGGAAAATCGATTAACTTGAGCCAGACAAACATAACATCGACCTTCTAATCTCAGTACATTTCGTTTCATTTACACTCATATTACACTTTTCACTATTATGTGTGTTATTTTTGCAAAAAATACAGTTTTCTTCTTTTACAGGAGCTAATAATTCTGCTGCCGACGAGGGGTTAACTTTAAACTTATTGTTTGTGTATTTATAATTACTTTCGTGTTTGTCGAAGTGAACTCACTCCATTGAATGGAAAGAATAATTCTTTCCATTCAATGGAGCGAGTTTCGGTTCCGGTTTGTTAACTGGTACGTTTGTTCGCCGCATTCAATGTCGTTTTTCAAAAAAGCAATTAAACCTGTAACATCAGATTCCTCTTTTGGATCACGCTTTCGGTGATATTCAAGAATCAAATCATGAGGCAATAATTTCAATAATATCGGATTTAACAAGTGTCCGTACGAACTTGAAGTTACTCCTAAATTACTTAAGCTTCGAATGTTTATTTTACAAGCGTCGTGTAATCTTCTTAGTGCATTTAAGTTAGAAAAATTTTTAACTGGTTCTATGTCCAAAAGATTATTCATATGTGATTTTATAGTTTTCTCTTGTTTCCCAAAGCGTTCTTTTAAAAGTTCTAAGCAAGAATCGTAATTTTGTTCGGTTAACTGAAATCCTTCAACATTATATGCTTGCCCTATCAATAATGATTTCAAGTATACGAATTTTTTAATCTTGCTTAACGCTTTGTTCTGATCAATCGCAGCTTGAAAACTGTTAAAAAAATTCTAACCATTTTCTTGCATCTCCTGAGAATTCTGGAATATTTAACTTTGGCAATTTCATAGCCGATGACGATACATTTATTTCAGAAACAGAAGTGTTTCAAAGAATTTGCATCTGATGCATTTTTCACAGACAAATTTTCATTACATTTATTTAATCTTATTTTTAATTCTAAACTTTGCAGACATAATTTGTTCACTGTATTTATCACTTCCAGAAATATCTTTTTCAAATTCTTTAGCATCTTTTAACTGAGTTTCGATTTGTGAATTCAACATTTTCAACGTGTTTTCTCTTTCGAGAATTGTTTCCTTCATCTCCTGCAATTTCTCAATGTTTGCGTTTTCGATATTTTCTGATAACAAAGATTCTATTTTCGTAACGCTACTGCGTTCATTCGTACGTTTCTGCTTCAATTTGTCTAAAGCTTCCATGTTTAAAATTGACTAATCACAATATTGAAACTCAGTTTTTTCCAAATTTTCAAAGAAAAAGGGATTGCTTACCTGTTTACAGGTAATCCATCTGCTAATCTTTGAAATTCTAATCCAAAAGTGCCGGGTTTTGGCACCACTAAAATATGTTCTTTCTATAATCCATAGTTCTATTTGGGAAAGCTTTCGATTCAAATCACTACTTCAATTAAGTCTTAATGACTTTTATTTACACACATCTTTTATATTACAATATATACATAATTCGAGATTAATTTCAAATCAAAAGATGGGGATTATCCCCCCTTCGTATCAAATTCTATCAAGAGAAACCGAGTGAGCGACTGCTCTCTTCCAAGTTCATTTTTTGACTCCTCGTTGCCACTGGCAGAAGAGAAACTTTCGCCCATTTCGCGTTCGAGTTGTAACAGAAGTTCTGGCGCCCTCTATTTTTCAATATTGATACTAATTGAAAAAACGCTAAGGAAACAAGTGATATTCGGCAAATATTTATTAATAACATGATAAAGTATGCTATTTTTTTTAATTCAGCAGAATTTTGAGGATGTATTCTATGTAGCAGCAGACGTTTTCAATACGGCACTGCATTTTTTATGAGATAATACAGGGCTAAATTTGCTTATGTTGAACGAACAGGCGGACATTTATCAACAAACCGCCTTAATGCTCAATTTTTACGAACTGACCCAGTCCCATAGGTGGTCAGTGAGTTTACTTTCAGTCTTTGTATCTTTTAGGCTTTGGAGAGAGATCCCTTAGGGTGTCATGGTAAGCATGTCCTTTTTTAGGGCAGTAAATACGGTCGATGACGCTAGTGACTGCACGAATTCTGGATTATCGACTTTGTCTCTGCCATCTACTTCAAAACGTGAGGAATTCTTGAAAGATCCCAAACTTAGGAAAAAAAGCGAAAACAAAAAAGGAGAATGTGAATCCGGAGAAGGAAATTAGGAATGCAGAAAAAACCAGAGAAGAAAAAATACAGGAACTTATCCAGGAGTTCAAACCTGACTATGTGAAACAACACTTGGAATTCGAGCAACCATTTGCCCACCAGCGGCCGAGCGGCAAAGTCGCTGAACACTGGTAGTTCGGTCCGAGGTTCCAATCCAGCGAACGGGCTGGCTGCATGGGCGTTTTCGTAGTTTTCCCCATGTGTAACGTGTATACGAGCCAGTTTCCTTTAGAAAGTCCTCCACGAAGGCATCCCTTCCCTTAGGCAGATAGCCCTCGTGT